GATGTGGGAGAGGGGACGTGGGAGGCGCGTGGGGGCGTGGAGGTGTGGGAGGGCGTGGCCAGTGTCACTTAGTCCATCGGTGTTCGTAGCCCTCACGTCGGGCGCCGAGATCCGGCAGCTTTTGGCCATCGAAGGGGAACGCATGTCTCTCGCCCGCCGGAGCTTGCCCACCTGTGGTGTGCCCTGCGTCTGGGGCCTGTGCGTTCGGGTCCCAGTTAGGCCCCTGGCCCAGCGCCTCGAAGCCCGGGGGACCCCTCGCCCCACGCAGGGCGCCTTCGAAGCTCAAGTGACCCAGCTCTCGCTCTCTGTTTTAATCACTGAATAGAAAAGAAACGGGTCTGAGTAAGACCAGGAAGGCAGACGGCGAGCCTGGGTCTGAAAGTTCTAGAAGATGCTAAACGGATGACACAGGGCCGCAGAAGGGTCATGGCTGGAGATGCCGAGCATCCGCTCATTCAAACCCCTCGGGCTTACTCACACCCCAGCGGGGCGCAAAGGTGATCCCAGGCGGAATCCTGGCAGGGACGGGACGTCGTCCCGGAGCTCGACTCGGCCGGCGAAGCCGGGGGGCGCCCGCCCCCCACCCTCCCCAGGGACACGCGAGTCTGCTCGGGAATCTTTTCGGGGTCCTTCCGGGCTCACCCTCTGCGCGGGGCTCCCGGAGCGGGGGGCGACCTTGCGGTCTGCTCCTTGGGGCCGCCAGGGCGCGGTCGACCTCAGGCCGCCAGAGCCCGCTCCCGTCTGTCCACTGAGCTCGCAGCCCCGGGCCGGGCGGGTGGGCGAACTGCGGCCTCGTCCGGGTTCTCACCGCCAGAACCCCAGTCCTGCGCTCCGGCGGCCTTGTCCCTGTGGTCAGATCTGAGTTCGAGTCCGGACTCTGTCGCGTGTCGGTAAGCAAGTGATTTGGTCTAACCTTCGGTTTCCTCCACGAAGCTGATACTGTGTCCCCACCACCTAGGGCGAGGCCCGGAAGTTAGTGGCATACCGAAGGTAAAGGGCTTGGCAAAACGCCAGGTGCTCAGTATATGCTCAATAAATAAACGCTGGCAGCCAGGAGCCGTGATTTCACGCTTGTAATCCCAGCACTTTGGGAGGCTGGAGTGCCGCTAGAGCCCAGGAATTCGAGATCAGCCTGGGCAGCACGCGAGACCCTATGTACATATATATATATTTTTTTTTTAAATTGCTGACAATCTTTCTCCACGTGACTGCACGCTACTAGAGGACAAGACCCCAGCGCCTGGCACAAAGCCTGGCATGGAAGGAAGAAGAGCAGCGGCTGCCTAAGACTCTCAAGCTCAGGGGTGGCGAGGGAGTGCAGAGCTACAGATGCGGAAATCCGAGACCATCCCGGAGCTGAAGGCCTTGAAAGGAGAGGTGAGGGTGCGGCTGGGGGGCTGCGGTGCCGGGGGAGACCAGCGTATCCGCCTGCTCTGCACAGGCCCGAGTCACCCCTCCTACGGGTTTTCTCCGGTGTTTCCATTGTGTCCTCTTGCCCGGTCTGCGAAGGAAAAAAAACAAAAGCCAAAAAACACCTGTGAGATCAAGACCCAGGCTGGTCTCGAACTCCTGGGCTCAAGCGGCATTCCAGCCTCCCAAAGTGCTGGGAGTCAGGGATCCCATGCGCCTACGGGCCGATGGCTCCCCGCGTCCCTCGAGGCTGCGTTAGGAGCGAGCAGGGAAAACCGGGGTGAGGACGCCCCTAGCCGTGCCAAGGGATCGCGCCGGAGTTGTCCCAAGAAGCCGCAACCGGCGGATGGAGGAGGAGCCGGGGCTCCGCCGGCTTGATGGCGGGCAGGCAGAGCTGGGAGCTTCTCAGCCAAAGCCCCGCCCTCTCCCGGCGTCCCGGGAGTTCTAGGGCAGACCCCAAAGCGCAAGCTGCGGCAGCGTCGTCGGGCACAAAAGCCCAAAGGAGTGGCACCCAAACGGGCGTCGCTTCCCGGGACCCTCGACGAGAGAGTGCGGAGGGGGCGTCACGGCGCCGCCCCGCGGCCACGCCCGTGGCCCCGAGCGGGCGAGGCGAGAGAGAAAGGGCCCGGCCCCCGGCGCACACGGGGCACCGGGCTCCCGCCCCGGCTCCCCAGCGGGGGGCATGCTCTCCTTAACCTCCACCCTCCCCCAGCACCCATCCGGGCCGACTTTCGGTGTGCGGGACGCCCAGTAGCCCGGCGAGGCAAAGCACGGGGCTAGACGAGGCCCTGGAGTCTTGGCCCAGGCTGGGGCGGGGGGGGTTGAGGAGCTGCGGGAAGGGGAGGGGGCCGAGAGCCGACCGGTCCTCCAAAGCCCGCAGCCTGCTGGCAACCCGGAGCTGGTCGGCCGAGGTTTGCGGTAAACACGTGTGAGTTGCCCTAGGGCGACCGAGGCGGGAGGCTGCCTGGCAGGGGCGGGGCACCCGACGCCCGGGAGGTCGTGGCGGTTCTCGAGCCTCCGCGTGCGTCTCCACAGTGGGAAGGATGACTCTCCCCGCCTGGCCGAGGGCTGGCGCTGGGCTCCCGGCGGAGGTGACAGCCGGGGGCACGGGATCCGCGGCCGGAAGGTCTCGGCGAGGGGACTGGGGCGCGCAAGGCCAGGGCGGAGACAGCGAGCTCCCCGTGTCCCGCGACCCCCCTTCAGGTTCCTGCGGGGCAGCAGGATTCCTGGGCAGAGACAGAAAACCGACTGCAGAGAGGGGAGAAGAAGGTGCCCTGAGGCGAGGAGAAAACGGGCCGCGCTCAAGCATCCTGTCCTCCTCCCTCGCCCCGCTCCCCCCTGCGCCCCCAGCTCTAGCTCCCTTTCCCCATAGATCACTACGGAGCGGGGCATCCCCCTGCTCTGAACCGTGAAAAAAAACCGTCAGTTCGCTATTGTACTGGCTCTCTGACTTTGGCCCAAGGACGGAAACCGTGTGGGTCTTGTGATGCAGTAATCAGATGATTTGACCAAACCAGATTTGGGTTCAAATGATCGGAATTAATAACTCAAGTCTCTACTTGATTTCCAAATGCAACTGTGGGTTCTGCTTCTTTCTCTCCTTGCTCATTGCCTCAGGTGTCTTCTCCTACACACACACACACACACACACACACACACACACACACACGTTTTCCAGATAAAAGGAGACTCGAGAGTCATTTCCTTCCAGAAATATACCATTTTCCAGGTCCCGACTGAACTGGACTTTAGGCTGTTAATGAATGGAGGCGAGTGAAGAGATGAAATACAGCAGACTCGCCACCATGAAAAAGTCTGGAGGATGTGAAGAATAAAGGAGCTGGAAAAAGAAGGCAAGACTATGGCCGCTGGGTTTTTAAATTTTCATTTTCAGGGGGAAATTGTTCGATATGAGGTCTAAGCCGCTACCACTGCGCTGGCAGAGAGAAGGAATTGCGATGCGAAGTGAAGGCGCCAGAAGGCCATCGTGACTAACCATCAAGGGGTGGATTTTGTAGCTGGGGCCCCCCAAGCAGGCAGCGCACAGGCGAGGGTGACCGGCAGTCCTGCGGTGGTGAGCTCACGCCAAGCATTCCCCCTAAGCTCACACTTCCCCATCCAGGGGCCTTCCTTCACCAAAAGAGGGCTGGGAACTAAATCCGGGTAGACTTGAAGGCGCAGGACCTGCCTCATTATTCAGCTGTGCGAATGCTGGAGTTCTAATTACACACTTGCTTTTCTGGGGAAGAAGACCAAAGATCCTATTTTTCGAAAGTATCAACTTGTTTTCCATTAGACAGTTGTTGTAACAAGTTCTTTCAGCGACATGTTATGTCTTTAGGAAGAGGTGCTTCAGATGGCGCGCACTAGCACGATTTTGTGGCTTTTAATTACTGTTTTGTTCTTTTGGGGGGTTCAGAAGCTGGCGCCTGGGAGCGATTAGACCGTCTACCGGGCCCGCCGCAACCTCGCACACCGGCCACCAGGTGGCGCCGCAAAGCAAGCGCTGCCGCAGGGACTTCGGACTGGCGGCCGCGAGACGGGGGTCCGTCGGTGGCGCGCCCAGGCTTCCAACACCCAGAGGCGGAGGCAGAAAGCCGCCCCCTCCGACTTTTCAGAAAGGAGGAGGAAAAGAAAATGCAATGGAAGGACGGAACAGGGTCCTGAGGCGCAAAACCGTAAAACAGGGTGAAAGGAAATGTGCGAGATGAAACTTTCTGGATTTGTTGTTGTAAGTTTACCAAGGCGCGACACAGCCAGAATCTAGACTTGATACGTCTGTAATCCGACCTAGTTTCGCATTTCCGTGCTCGTAAAAACGTCGAATTCAGAGTCGGAATGAACCCTGTTCCAACTCTCCACCTTCAGGATCGCTTTGCGGGTGTCAGCTGCCCATCCAACAGGCATCACTGCTCAGCGCCTCGGCGTGTCCGGACAGTGTAAGTCAGGGCAAGTGGTTTCAGATGCTTGAGTGGCAAGGACACCCTTGGGTTTCTGTCGTTTTTCTTTCAAGCCGCGAGGAAAAGCTCGTTTAGCCACTGTCTAACGAACAGTCCTAACATCCCCGTGGATGGGGTAGGGAGCGGGAATTATACGTGGGGTGTGGACCCGTTCAGTCCATCGACGGCGTCAGGTGCCCAGTGGCCGCCCAGAGTAGGCGCCAGACACTTCGAGGAAAAAGGAAGAAAAGACTGGCCGGGCTCTCGCGCCGAAGTATTTGTATTCGCGCCTCTGAAAACTGACCTCGGACAAGAGGGGACGAAGCGCCGGAACCGGCACTTGCACACGGGATGGGGCGGCGCACCCACTTCTCCCTCAGAGGCCAG